GTCTTATTGACTCAATGTGAACCTATTCAATAGGGGATTTGTCTCAAAGGTGGACCTGCCCGAATGTGTGTGGTTTCCTTGCCCTTTAAAACCAACCACAAAGGGGATCTTCCCAAAAACGACACACACAAACACATGAGTTGTACTTGAGCATGCCAGCTGTGAGGAGTGCAAAGGAAACGAAATCAGCCGGCTCCCAAGGATCGCACACCTCCGCATGGGGATTTATGTCCAGCAGCATTTCAGGGTTGCCAATAGGACAATATCTTTCCAAATTCAGCCGCTGGAAGCCTAAAGATGCGTCCGTATCCCTTGGTTTGCTGTCTCCCCAACCGCTTTGCAGCGGCTTCCTGCTTTGGGGGGGGATCAATGGCCTGCCTTGTGGGGTCATTTTCCCCAAGGGGTATGTAAAAGTACAACCACCCAGAACACATGGATTGGTCAAATACAGGATTGAAGACTCTGCGCCACACCGCGGCAAACAGCAGACCGTTTCAGAAGCTTTTCTTTGCAGGGGTCTTCACTTTCCTACACCGAAGGGGGGGAAGACAACCCTGAAATGGTCTCATCCCCGCGCCGGATTTTCAAAGTGCCTTGTCGAAGTTTCATATAAGGGGCAACATAGTTGCCAATTGAATTGCTTGCTCACACAATCACCACTAAAATCAGTCTTAAAAAGTACCCTTTCTCCATGTTGAGGTGGAATTGGCCTTTGAGCGTTATCAGAGAGCAGCGGTCCCGACAGCCACATCGGCCCTCTTTGTGGCCCTTGTCCATGGGTGCAATGCACAAGTTTTATCGTGAGTGTACCCATGGAAAGGCATGTTGTAGGTGAAGGATCTCCACGTAGGTAGGATATCCCCCAAGCTTGGGCAAAAGCTGTTTGAACAACTTGCTCCTGGGAGACTGGTTGGATGGGAGCCCAAGGGTACCCCTTTGTATTCCAAAGGCAAACCACTCAAGTCCCTACCGTTTGTTCCTCGCCCAAGAAGAACATGTATTTTTCTGAGGTGCCTCTCAGTGCTGTCCTCCGTGCCAATGTTTGCCGACATCTCCCGCACTGAGGCCGGAAGTCAGTTGCACCGAAGGACCCTTCTTTGTTCGAACCTATTCAACTGGTCATTTAAGGAAGGCTTCGGAATGCTGCAGGATTCGCCCAGCTCAGCGATCCATGGTGGCTTCCCCACATCCGTTTTTACTACCAGGGTGGCTGGGCAACTGTGTTCGGAAAGCCGCGAAATAGGCGGTTCATACAAGAGCTCAATGACCGCAAACATAAAGGTGACAATGGCTCCAACTTCTTTTACGCGAGTTTGGAATGTGTCAATCGTATGGACCCTTGCTTTTGGTCCGACCCCCTTTGAAGCCACCTCAAAGGGCCTCCCCAGACTTCACACATCCTTGCTTCAGGACGAGAGTATTGACGGTTGCTCATGGTCTGGTTGGGCAACAAAGACCAGGGTTGCTTCCTGGTCAAACATGCAGGAAAACTCACTTGCCTCTTTGCTGCAACGCAAGCGATTTGGACTTTGTTTTGTCCAACCCACTCAGGACCTGAAGGCACGGGCACCGATTTCACCATTGGCCCAAGTTGCTGAAATCGGAACAGCGCTTTTGGCCCTGGAAGGGTCACAGGTGGGTTTCGACGCGAAACTCTCCACATACCAGCTACGACTCCAAAAACCAACCGGGAAAACCGCACAAACTTTGCGTATTCCCGATGTTGCAATGGCTTTCTATGCGACCACCAAATGGAAGCTCACCTCTAAACCTAGCAAAGTTGGTCCAGGTGTTCAAGAAACCTGCATGAAACTCCATAACCTTGCTCAAAATTCCTGGCTGAGTTTTCTTGACCCTCTCGGGTCCAAGTCCTCTGTCAAGACACACCCATGTGTCATGTCATAGGGTTGTTGCCAGACCCTCTTGCCAGAGAACGATCGTTTTCTGGGCCAAAATCAGTTAGATAAAGGGGTTTGTGTAAAGCGGGGGTTTGTGATAACTCTGTCATTATATGCTTTTGTGGCACCTCAAGCAAACTAAAGTTGGCTTCTTGAGCCTGGCTTGTCGAGTCAAGCTCAACTGAAGAGAAAGCGGTTTTATTTGCTCCGCGCTTCCTTGCCAAGCTCGCTTTTTCTTCATGTCTCAAACAGCCGGTGGATGACTGTTTTTGCTCCGACCTTCTGACTCTGCTGGCAGGAACATGATACGATGGGCTAAATAATTACACACACACACACATTAGCTATGATCATGTTTTGATTTGGGTTCCAACTACCCCACAACTCTATTCTAAGCTTTTCCCCCTTCGTATCATGGCAACTTGCCACGCGATTTGGCAGGGGATGGTCCCTTGAATTTCAGCTATCAAAACAAGAAAGGCCTTTCTTTTTCCCCCATGTACATCTGCTGGAAAGGGGGTTCGCTACTACATGCCTTTTGGATCCGTCCCCCTTCCCCGCCCGAAGCCGGACAAAACAGCGCGGCGCGGCGTCCGCGTGGAAGCCTGCCAGCTGGAAAACATCATCGACGCGCTAAAGATGGAGAGGCGTCCGCACGGCACGAAGCCCCAGAATGGGGTATGTCGTGTCCTTGAGGCTTGGTACCGTTTGTGGGATTGCTCTAAAGGGAAACCAAACGCAAAACCTAGCATTTTGCTGCAGATTGATGGTTTGGAGGTTGAGTGGTTTCGTGTTTACCCTGAACAAGAAGGGGTTCAAATCTCAAGCCAATCCAAGGCATCAGAAAAGATCATTTCCCGCAACCGCGTGTCAAATCTGAAGGGTCTAACATGTTCAGGATGCTTGTTCGTACTCTTCTCCAGGGCATTTCGGCGCAGCTCTGAACTGTGTGTGGGCGTGTGTAGTTTCATATGGCATGGTGCAGTGTGTTTTTGCTACTCGTGGGGGATGCACTCAGGTAGGTTGAAGGATGCCCCACGGGGCTCAGAAGAACTTAGTTCAACTAGGTTTCTAATCGCCACGAGTTCAACGGCTTGGGTGAGCGCCGATATTTTGGATGCCGTGATCCTCCAGTGTTTTCTAGCCCGATGGACTTACACCAGGCTTAAGCCGCTTGGCGAGGCAGGAGAAAAGAGAGAGTGGAAGGCTAGAGAGGTGGGAGGACGGGAGGGGACGAGAGTAGGAGAAAGGGGAAGGTCTTTCAACTACACACATGGCAACATGGTGGAGTTAAACATGGAGGACGGTGACCGCAAAGAGGTCCTCTTCGGTGTGCAAACCTGTGCCGGTGGGACAGCAGCAGGAGCAGTATGCACCGGCAGAGGGCTCCAGCAGCGGGGCCACGGAAGAAAAGCCCCCCCAAGGAGCCAACGGCCGAGCAGAAGGCGGTGGAGGCTTGGAGTGCGGTGGAGAAGGCGGCCTTTGACGAATAAGAAGTCGGATCTGCGCTCAGGCTGCTTCTCGCAGGAACGCATGTGCCGCATGATCGCTCTTTCCAACCAGCGCCAGCAACAGCTCTTCGACGGCACGAACAAAGGCGTGGGGCTCCTAGCCGCGATCAAGAGAAAATTCACGCCCCAGGAGCTCACCTTCAATGCCAAGGAGAAGGAGATCCGGAAGACCAACCAGCTCATGCAGATAGAGACGGACCACCTGGTTTGGACACCCATCCAACAGCCGGCGAAGCTGTGGAGTCCAACTCCAATCCTTCATGGAAGTTCACAAGGTGGGGGAGAATTGGCCCACATCAGCTTTCCAGGACCAAAAGCCGGCGGCGGTCAAGCGGGTCAGGGAGGAAGTGATTTTGGTTCACAAGCTCGTCCAGCAGTGGGAATACAGCAAATCCACGAAGGAGACCGCATCGCATCCATGCACCACCCAAACCTCCTGAAATCGGAGTTCCCAGCGCTGGCGCAAGATCCGCTGCCTGACCAAGGCCAAAAAGTACCTGAGCAATCACCAAGGGATGGGCATTCCCCTTCTGAGCCGCTGTGAGGAACCAATGCAGAGTATCCAGCTGAGTTAGCGTCTGCCTTTTTGGGCACACCGGCTCCGCGTTGTTGCCGGGGTCCCCTTTTGGGGCTGGTCTTGCGGGTTGCCTTTTAACTCTCGCATTCTCGTTCTTCGGAGTTCAGGTTGTCTCGGAACCGTGTGGAACAGGTATTGCGCGAACCTGAGTGGCCCCCCACCATTGAAGGTCTTCTGCACATCTCCACTCAGGAGCGAACCATGCTCAGCGGTAATCATTGCACGGGGGTGTGAACGGGAAGGTGGCTTTGTCACTCCGCGCATGGCATGTGACAGAGAGCTGGACGGGTATCGCCGGCGTAGCAGAGGGGTGTAACTCACCTCCACCTGCGTCTCCCATCATGTTCATGCTTGGCTTGCCGCGCCGCGCGCTGGTCACGCGCAGCGACCCATGGAGGACCCGGCGGGTGACCCCATCCTGGCAGAGTTTGGGGGTGTTGAGGACGGTCGGGAGACGCTGGATAGGATGTCAGTAAGGCGCGCCGTCCAAGATTGGAACGTGTGGGGTCGCTTGAGCCCAGTTCTACTGAGTAGCTGCCTTGCTGACACGGCGGCTCGCGTGCCACCTCTCAATTGCCCTGGTTGTCCGTCCTAAGGGGGATGTGGACCTCCAGGTTCGGAGTCACCAAGCCAGCACCGGTGGCCCTAAGACCATGGAAAGAGCCAGCTTGGCAAGAAAACGTTGCAGCTGCCCCGGCTTGCATTTCCTCACCAGTTTTTGTTCCCATAGAGAGGCGGTGACAAGGTGGGAAAAGCTTTGGCTACCCATTGCAGAAGGCCAAGGAGAGACGTCACCTGTGGCCTCGTGTGGAGTTCTCCAGATGTAGCTTGACCAGCATCGGTTGGAGCTTATCGAGCTTTTCCTTCAGGTGCTCGGCGCTGCTGCCGGAGCTGAGACAGGAGCAGATGGGCAGACCAGCTCGCGGCGAAGAATCTCGGGCCTCTTACCACATGCAGGATGTGCAGCTGCAGGCGGGAAGGGTAGCCCCTCCGTTTGGTTTGCCGGTTGGCACGACGATGGACCCCTGAACGCAAAGCCCCACAGATCGGTTGGCACGACCATTGTCGCCTGGGAGACCTTGTTGGGCTGGAGTGGACGACTGTGACCCTCCGGGACCTCATCTACTGAGAGCCTTCTGAACTTTCAGTTGCTCTGCTGATGTCTGGTTTTTCTGCGCCACCCCAGGGAACCTGGGCTGTTTTTTTTGGTGACCCTCGCTAGGTATCCGGATTCGATTCTGGAGTCACCACTCGACCGGATTTCAATTTAACAAGACCAGGGTTCAATATAACACGGACGTGTGCGGGAAAGGGGGTATGAGAATACCCTTAATCCGATGAGGGTCGGCAGAAAGATGACACACAGCCCGGAGGCTGTGTTTGCAGCTCTGCCCGCCCTCAAATTTTGGAATTCAGCCACTCACGCGGTCTCGGAAAAGAATCTTTGGGGAGCGCTGCAGACTGCACTTCCGTGTTGATGTATTTCGTTCGGCATTTTTTGGCTGCCAAGCTAGGCAGTGAGCCATCCACCCAGAGCTTCCATCCTGCCCTACCTCTTTTGGCTTTAGCTGAACTTCAGCCGAGTGAGAGGCGCATTCGAAAAATGGCCCAAGTCTTCCATTCTGTGTCTGCAGCTTGAAATTACCCAGAACCTTCCGAAGGCGCCATGAAGGTGGATGTTCACTTGCCCAGCGGAGCTGGTTGCTCCGTAGCAGTTTCACCAGAGGCGCCCATCAGCGAGCTGAAGGATACCGTGCAGCAGCATTTTAAGCGTCGCTTGAAGCTCGTTGCGAAAGGCCGGCAGCTCGATTTGACGGCCACTCTGACGCAGGCCGGATTGCGAGATGGGGACTCGGTGGCTGCAGTTGTGCAACTTGGCAAGTTGGCTGCCGCTGATGAAGCCTTTGCTTTTCATCCCCAGGAGAGCGAGCTTGTGACCTGGGGTCATCGTCGCTTTGGCGGAGACAGCAGCCAGGTGCAAGAGCAGCTGGGGAACGTCAAGCACGTCCAAGCAACTAAGGGCGCTTTTGCAGCCATTCTTGAATCTGGGGCTGTTGTCACCTGGGGTGATCCAAACTACGCCGGAGACAGCAGCCAGGTGCGAGAGCAGCTGAGGAACGTCCAGCACGTCCAAGCAACTGGCCATGCCTTTGCTGCCATTGTTGAATCTGGGGCTGTTGTCACTTGGGGTGATCGAGGATTCGGCGGAGACAGCAGCCAGGTGCAAGAGCAGCTGAGGAACGTCCAGCACATCCAAGCAACTGCGGGTGGTGCTTTTGCTGCCATTCTTGAATCTGGGGTTGTTGTGACCTGGGGTAATCCACGCAGTGGCGGAGACAGCACGCAGGTGCAAGAGCAGCTGAAGAATGTCCAGGATGTCCAAGCAAACGTAGGTGCTTTTGCAGCCATTCTTGAATCTGGGGCTGTTGTGACCTGGGGTGATGCAAGAGCTGGCGGAGACAGTAGCCAGGTGCAAGAGCAGCTGAGGAATGTCCAGCACATCCAAGCAACTCGCAGTGCTTTTGCTGCCATTCTTGAATCTGGGGCTGTTGTAACCTGGGGTCGTGCAGACTTGGGCGGAGACAGCAGCCAGCTTCGAGAGCAGCTGAGGAACGTCCAGCACATCCAAGCAAACGTAGGTGCTTTTGCAGCCATTCTTGAATCTGGATCTGTTGTGACCTGGGGTGGTGCGGGCTGGGGCGGAGACAGCAGCCAGGTGCAAGAGCAGCTGAGGAACGTCCAGCACATCCAAGCAACTGCTGAGGGTGCTTTTGCTGCCATTCTTGAGTCTGGGGCTGTTGTCACCTGGGGCAATCCGGAAGCTGGCGGAGACAGCAGCCAGGTGCGAGAGCAGCTGAGGAACGTCCAGCACGTCCAAGCAACTGGCCATGCCTTTGCTGCCATTGTTGAATCTGGGGCTGTTGTCACTTGGGGTGATCGAGGATTCGGCGGAGACAGCAGCCAGGTGCAAGAGCAGCTGAGGAACGTCCAGCACATCCAAGCAACTGCGGGTGGTGCTTTTGCTGCCATTCTTGAATCTGGGGCTGTTGTGACCTGGGGCAATCCAGAAGATGGTGGGGACAGTCGCCAGGTGCAAGAGCAGCTTCGTTTGAGTTTGGGGCTGTGCTGAGATCGATGGCGAAAAGCGTTCTTAAATGAGGCAACTGATGAGCTCAAAGCTCGGCCCCTTATATCAATGTGTGGTATTGAAATCGCTACGAGATGCGCCGACGCCACCTGGTGCTACGACTGCGACTGCATATTTTTAATGCCAAGAGGGGTGAGCAAGGTCCAGGTTTCGCGTCGTGGAGGTGAAAACTCAGTATGCAGATGACATGCTATGCCAAACGCATGTTTCATAAAAAGGCTCCATGTAGGTAATAGATAATGCAGGCAATGGCGGGATGCCAAAAAATCGGTGTTTCTCGATGTTTTCCAAAAAATCAACCATCAAAAAGGATGTCAGCCCCCTTCAAATACCCAAAATATGGAGTTCTAAAAGCACAATAATGCTGGTGATGTTCGCAGGCGACAGTCCTATACAGGTTGGGATTTCGCAGAAACACACAATTTTCCAAGTTTAGCAGTTTCTTGCATCGTCACTACGCTTGCCCCCGCCAAGACCCCCAACAAGCCAAATGCAACATCGCTCAAAATAGAAAGACACCATGGATATCGGCAAGATTCATGCCGCCAAGACAGCCCTGACAATGCAGGGAATGCAGATTCTTACCACCGTAGACAACACCCCACCCCCAAAAACCTAGACAAAACGGTTTCAGGCGTTTGAAGCAATTACAGGGTTTTGGACACCCGGCAAATTTTGCTCAAGAATGGCCTCCCCAAAAGCCTTCGGCTTTAGAGCAAAATTCCGAAAGAGCAAGTTGCGGCTGGCGTCGGCGGATTCCCTTTGGTTTCCCCTCAAAAAGACACCGGGCCCATTGGATTCGACATCCAAAGCGTTGGTAGCGTTGCCCAACTGGCATCTTGGGATTTCCTGGCAAAAAAAAGGAGTCGTAACCAACGAATCAGCCGAAACGTCAACCTTGCCGGCGCCCAGGAGACGTGATCATTCGCCAAGGCAGGGGGCCCAGTTGCAACGGCCCATTGCTGTTTCCTACCCGTTTGCGTCTTAAAACAACAACAACTGAGAGGTAAGATCAAACCCCTCTTTGTGTTTGGGGGTTGCTTTCGGAATCAACCTGAGAGAAGAGGGTAAATCAAAGCTTCCCAGTTGGCTGCGATCCTACCAAACGGGCGACTTTGGATGGAACTTGGCGGGTTCTCGCTTGCGGCTGTTGAAGTGTGTGAGGTGTCATTCCTCTGGCTGGTTTCATGGGTTGAATGGCCCATTGGTCCAGAATGTTTGATTAGGATACCACAAAAGTTTGTCCCTGATCGTGGCATTGTTCCTGGAACATGGTTTTGGGGAAGCCCCGGATTCAAAAGAAGCTGCATTTTGCTGTTTGACTGACCCAACTGGGGTTCGCTCCTGGAGGGTTGTCCAAATCAGGGTCCCTTTTTGGCTTAGTATCTTCTTTAAAAGGCGGTACCAGGATCCAAATTTGGCCATATATGTTTGACAACCACACCTCTTGTTTGCTGTTTTCGGTCCTTGGTAGGTAACGTTTGGTGCTCTCCATTTACCCCTTTCCCCACCTAGTTCTTCCCCACTCCCTCTTGTTCTTTGTTTTCCAGGAGCTGGAGTCTTTGGGTCTCTTCCCAGATAGGCTCCGGAGTGGTTTGGAGAGGCTTCGGCCTAGGGTTGCCTGTCGGGGATACCACCTGGGCTCATGTTTGTTTCTCTCAGTCTTGACACACACTAAGCATTGCAAAGTTGCTGTAAACCGCGTATGAAATTCCTGCATTCCAAACGAGCCAGAGGTGGAAATGGCCAGGCTCAGCCTTGGAATGTACTAGGGGTATATTAAGTTTTGGCTTTTGGAGGGCAATGCAAGGACATTCTCATAGATGGGCCTCTCCTTTGCTTCAGCAAGGCGAAGTGGGAGATCACTTTTACATTGTCTACGAGGGCCAGGCATGGTGGTGAGGGAGTGGGAGGGGAAAGACAGTCCCAAACCAGAGCAAGCGACTTCAAGTTTTGGACAGATCCGGGAGTTGAATGCGTTGCTTGATGTTGTGCATTCCTAGCTATGGCAGGTGACTGACAGCACAAACAACTCTCTGACGGCATTTGCCGGTCCCTAGAAGTTGATCGATCGATCGGGGCCCATAAATTGCTGTCAACCACTTGAGTTTTTTTTGGTACACCAAGGGATTGTGATAGCATGGTTCGACCCATATGGTAGACTTCAGCCGAACAAACCATACCCGAAAGACCCTCGTGCTGTCAAGTCCTTATTTCAGCTGGTCAAAATGTATATTTTGTCGAGGGCATTTTGAGCCCACACCCCTTGAGCTCCTTGGGCAGGTTCGACTTCCAGTTGCATTGGGTGCGTTGGCATTGGCGGTTTGTCATCGGTTATCTTTTGCGCAGGGTTATGGTGAGGGGTATTTTGTGTCTTCCTTACCGGGGAGTTAACAAAGCTTCATAGTTTCTGGCCTCTCTTTGGAATTCATTCACATGTTGAGCTTCGCACAGAGAGACCAAGATCCTGCGTTAGCTGGTTGCTAAACCACACAAAATTCAACTTGTGCCTGGTGTGGAGTTTCCCGAGCTCCTGGACTCCTGGAGTTTATGCTCTTTGGTAAGACCATGTTGCCAATCCAAAAGTTCACTTCGCCCATCCACTCGGTTGGAAGTGAGTAGGTGACAACCGCCCTTGGGAATGTCGCCGCTGGAGACAATGAGGTGATGGCCTCCAAAGTCACTGACTCAGAGCCTGTGATGATGATCCACGAGGCACGCGGGCTCGGGGTGAGACTCTGAAACGTTTCAAGGGTTGGGCAATTCTAAGCCTGGCTTAAAACATAGTTTAATCCTCTTAAGATGAATATGGAATCCCAACATCCTCCTTTTTAGAGGAATCTCCTTTTAGGGGACCCCTTTTGGGTCAATTTTGATTTGCAGGAGTAAACCAAAACACTCTCCCGGTTTCGAGTGTCTAATCCATCTGGGCCAATTAGAACGAGCTCGCCGACTTGGAGGTGAAACGAGCTCGGGCCTCGTGAAGTCGTTTACTAGCGTCCCTTATTTTCACTTTGGTTGGGACCCTTATCACACCAGCCCGAACCTGAGACAACCACCTTTCGCTGCCTTTTGGCATGTGTGCTTTGCGCTTGGCTGGTCTTTTTTTGGGTTCGTTCCGTCTTGAGCACTTGGGCGCCACTCCCTAGAAAGATTCTGAGGGCTCTTCGATCAGAACCCCTTTTCTGGGTTGACGGCGCCTTTGTCAGTGCTTGAAATGTTAGCAGTCAGCAGCTTCCCCCGGGTTGTGGTGCCTCGCTAGAAAGCTCCGTGCGGATTTGCACATATGGGCAAAAAGAGTGATTAACCATGTTGTGGGTTGTTTACTTGGGGATCCCTTTTTCAGGTTTTGGAATTATTGTTAAAGTCCGCAGACAGATGCGTCACCGATGTATTTAGGGAATGTGTAAATATGTATATTAGAATCTCATAGTGTCTGGGTCTCTTGAAGACTGGCGGGTCCCGGGGAGTAGAGGGAGGGTGCCGGGTGATCTCGTGGAATCTAAATATTGGATGGAAACATTGGGGGGCTCAGGCGTTTGGAGGGCACATTTGAGAACTTAGCCGAGGACATTGACCATGCACGAAGCCAGAGTCAAGGTTGCGTTTGAGATGCAAGCCTCAACTCGTGAATTTAAAAGGGGGCGGGGGGGGGGGGGGAACCAATTGCATGCCAGGAGCAGTAGTTTTGTCCAAAGACTTGGCATGCTCTGGATTTGCTTGCGGACCTTGATAGCTTAGCTATTTTCAGCACCGGGATACTTGGGAAGATGGGCACCAAAAGAAGATGGGCTGGCAGCCGATCCAGGCTAATCTGAAGTCCATGTCATGGAAGTTGTTTGGGCGGTCATGGATGCCTTAAGAAAGAGAAGCCATAGCGATGGCCCAGTATCAGTGGCTACATACTTCCTAACATAATTATCCTATAATCGTGACTCAAATCGTCTGTATAGCATTCCACAACCCAATTTGGATTGTTGAAGCCCTCATAGGCAAGGAGCGTTGACCATAGATTCTAGCTGTATTTCCCTATGCCTCCCCGGAGTCGTTTTGCAGAACATGGCCGAAGAGGATTCCACCCTTTGTGCAACGTGGTTTTGGGTAAAGGGACAGGTCCTGTTCTCCCATGGAAAACCACTTCTTCCATTGACCATTAGGTGGTTCTACCTGGCGTAGTTGTTATAGTAAAGCCGATATGCACAGTCACAACCATGCCAGGAGAACCACACGTCAACGGGCTTTGGTCGCTCACAATTCGCGCGACACGTTTCGACAAATCGACCAGGCTGGGGACTACTTTGGGGAGCTCGCGTTGATCCTGGACGCGCCCCGAGCCGCCACAGTTGTAGCAAGCAGTGAGCCGGAGGCGAATGGGGGGAGAGGCCGAGCGGATTTGCAGGGTTGGTTCCCTTGTGTGGAAATGATTTTTCTGGGTGGTTGGGTCCGGATTCATCCGAAGTTGACAATAGTCAGAGAAATTCCCTTGAGCTGCTCCAGGATGAGACAAATCCTGGCTAATTCGGTGCATCGGTGCATCCTTCCTGTGGGAGAGATAAGGTGGCATGACGCGAGAAGGTCCCCTTCCCGCTTGGACCACACCAGTTAGTGCTTGACCCTGGCGAATAAGTTGCCCAACTAATAATTACCCTCCAACCCAACTCTTGGCTGGTCTTCGGTGTGACCTTGGCCTCTTAGACTTGACTCACCATTGAAAACAAATGGCTTCTTCATTCCCTGCAAACAATCAGACCTTTTTCTCAGGAGGAGAGCAACCCAGACTTGAGGGACCTATTTGCACCAGTTATAGAGCAAGCTCACGGTGAAAGGAGATCGTCCGTTCTTGGGGACCCAGAAAGGGGTTTCCGATCCAAGCCAGCTCTCTTGTTTTTGTATGAAGCAGGGCTATGTTTCCACATACCCGGGCTGTGCGAATCATTTTGTCTCACTTCTGTGATACCTTTTTGAAATATTCCCCCCCCCATTTCTGCGAAAAACCAAAGAACGCTATACCAGTGAATGAACTAGACATGATTTTGGTACGACAAATCGTTTCATTTTCCGTAGGCCCAAGGACAACACTTTGCAATAGTGATCGGGAACACGACATGATTCATCCAGCGGTATCACAGATTTTCAACACCGCAGCCAAAACTTCGTTGCCAGAAGTTCTTATTTGAGGGAGGCGGTCCTAAATGACGATTTTGTTTTCGGGTCACACGTCAATTTGCAGGAGTCCTAGGAGTGTATTTACCAGGGTAACGAAGAGGGTTGGGGGCAAAACACATTTGAACAAACGCTTTCTAGTTCCTTTAAAGTGGTGAATCTAAAGGAGGTTGTTTAAGCCATAGCTGAGTGTTTCTCAAACTTAGGGCCTCCGGGTGGTTGGTCTCGTTTTTGTTTTTTTTTCCCCGACACCGAAAAAGATCCCGACTTTTGAGAAACACCCACCTCTTCAAGCCCCTAGTCACCTCTAGGTGTGTTTGCTCTCCATGGATCGCGCCACCTTCAAGCGCATCACCGGGGAGCACAGCGGGGGGCCCAGCGGCCACACGTGCAGCGGGCGGGAGGGCACCTGAACCGGTGGGTCCTTAGGTTGAAGTTTGGACAAAGTTGAGGGTTCCAAACCAATCAGTCCCTAGATTTGTCCTTGGTGAAACATACCTCTCGGGCCAATGGTGGTGAGTTTCTCCTTTGGTGGGGTGATGTTTGAAGGTGTTTTCATTTTCGCTTCCACCAGACCAGTCGAGGGCCAGCTTTTCGCTTCAATTCACACGACCTGCTTGCTACCTTGGCACGGTTCGAGCGACCCCTCGAGCATTTTTGAACTCCTTCCCCTCCAAAAAAATAAATAAACATAAAAACGAAGCACCGCCAAGTCCGAGCTCGTTAAACGGCCGGAGTTGGCGTCAATTGATTGCATCCCCTCCACCTGTGAGGTGTACTCATCAAACGACCTCCAAACATGCACATTTCAATTTCACGGTTGGCAGGGCAGGGCAGGCGCGACAAAGCTTAAAAACTCAATGAAGCCCAAACTTTGCTTTGCCATCATCTCAAGGCCCCAAAATGCTCTGACTCTTAACCTTTCGGGGGGAGAAGTGTTGGGGATTGTTGACCCGGTGCCTTGCAAGATTTGGGGCTCGACCACGAGGTTGTTCAAATGGTTTTCACCGTCTTGAAGGTGATACCCAAAAAAGGATCTTGAAAGCCGAGTTGTTGAAACACGTAGGACAGCTGTCTCAGCAGTGGACATCTGATGCAAGCATCAGTCTTCCATTGGCACCCCCTTGCCAGGCGCACTGCATGGCTACTTGGAAAGCAACGTCGACCGCTATGCATGATATTCTGCATATTCGCTGAACACCAAAATTCATTAATTTGTCTTTTGTTGTCCTGGTTTGAATATTTTGAGTACGCATAGTGTAGCTGTGTATTGTACTCGAACAAATCGTTTGCTTAAATCTGATTGGACTCGATATTGTAGATTCAATATTTCTCTAAAGTGGGCGGAGTTGGGGGAGGCGGTTGTGGTGGTGATATAGACGATGAAGAACACTTTAGGTTTGAGATTTGAATGTTATTTGCCCTAACGAAGAACTCTAGACTTGCGTGTGTTTTTTTTTCTTTCTTCGATCCATACATTCTATTTTTTGTTTTTGGGGGGGATATGGGGAACAATTACAAATACACAAACATATTGTTATTTTGATATATTTGATTCTTAAAATTAAATATTGTTTGAATAAAAAATAAAAATAAATTATTTCGCTTCGAGTAATCTTCGCTTTCCACACTTACGAACTTATGACCGGTACAACAAATGCTTCTGTATTTTAGAGATTTCGATTCTAGGCGGGATTTATTGGCGAGCTAATTTGAGATATTTAGCGGGATATTCGGCGGGATTTATTGATGGGTTGTTTTGGTGGGATACTCGGCGGGATTTATTGGCGAGCCGCTTTGGCGGGGTATTCGGCGGGATTTATTGATGAATCGTTTTGATGGGATACTTAGCGGGATTTATTGGTGAGCTCGTTTT